CCTCTACGCATTTTAACACAAGTCTCAAGGTAAACTTGTAGGAACTTGTGCCCTCATTGCAGCCTGGCTATCGGAGAAGGTTGTTATTCTTCTCCTAGGCCCACCCTCCTCCAGAATGCGGATGCTCAAGCCAGAATCGCGAATATTTACACCTGGAAAATAGTAACATAAAGGGTGTAAACGTTAGATAGTCATTAGTTAAATGGGTGATTGAGGGTGTTAAAAGAAGCAAAAAGTTTCATATAACATGGGGGTCAAAACAGCATTTTTTTTAGAGAAAAGCGACTTTAAAACAAAATAAAATCTGTCAACGCCGTAATGCCAGTCGCAAATTACGACGCAACGCCGTGTAAATAAAGATGGAGTTTGTTATTTTTGGTTCATAGGTATTATTTCATTATTTGATAATGTACTCGTAAAATGCAAACAATTAAAAAAAACGGACTTACCACTAACTGTCTCAGCGCTTCACCTGGTGTGGGAAAGTTTATTGAACGTATTAAAAAAGTCCACTTATAAATATTGAACTCAATTTTGATACATACGTTGTGTTTCTTTTTAAAACCTACACTGCACTTTTTTTGTATTTAAAGGTGTTCAGCCGCATTAAAAATTTGTTCTCGAAGTTGTGCTTCAGTTGTTATTGGACCAGCCCCATAAACCATCCCTTTAAGTTCTCCCCAATATCAAAAATCAATCGAATTGAGGCCAGGAGGTCTTGCTGGCCATTTTCGAGGATCAGGAGCATTTTGACCGATACAGCGATTTGGATAATGTTCATTCAAATGCTGAATGAAGCCTCTAAAAACGTGTGGTGGTGCCCCGTCATGAAGAAACCACAAATTATTTCTCCGTTGTAATGGCATGTTGTCTGTTCCAAGAGTCCTGGTAGGTTATTGGCTAGAAAGCTAAGGTGTCCTTCTCCTGACAACTTTGGAGGTAACTCGAAAGTGCCAATTACCTACGTCATGAATACCCGCCCAAAATGTATTTTAGAACGTTGTTGGAAATATCCTTCACGAATGGTATGAGGATTTTCTTGGGAATACGGGTGAGTATTATGGAAATTTAATATCCCGTCACGCGTAAAAGTACATTCGTCCGTTGCTAGAATGTTTTAAAAAAATCAGGATTTTCAATGTTTTTGTGCAAAAACTACTGACAGAATGTTAGTCTGCGAGAATAGTCTTCTGATAATAAGGCCTGCACTCGTTGTACATGGTAGGGATAAAGCAAGTTTTCCCGTAGGATTCTATGGACTATGGTATGCGATAGTCCTACGCGGCGGCCTAATTCCCGAGTCCTGATATCTGCATTGATTTCCACAAAATTTAAAATTTGTTCCTCTTGCTCTACAGTAACGAATCTTTCACGGGTGCGAATATTAGTGGGCTGAACACTTCCTGTATATCGCAGTCTTTGGTACACTTGCACAACAGTCCTTCTGTCTGGGTGTACCCGTTGGCTAAATCTGTCGCGATAAATTTGAGCTGCAAGATTTGAATTCTGACGAGCTTCGCCGTAAACTAACAACATCAACTCAGTCAAGTCATCGTTGGTTGTCAGAGCGGTCCGTGGGAAGTTTGCTCTTGAGTCACAGTGTCAGTTTGTAAGTCTGTCAGGTCTGGTAATCCAGAAACCAGACAATTACAAAGAAAAAAGGGGAAGGAAAGGAGAGAAGGAAGAACGAGAGCAAAGGGGAAGAAGAGAATCTTTTAGGATAGGCAGCGTTTAAGCATTGTTAAAATCGCTTCACAGATTTTGATATGGTCTAAAAATATTTGATTTTTTCTAAAAATTGTGTAAAAATGCTCCAATTTTGGTTGTTCTAAGTTCACGAGTTAATTTTGATTACAGTGCGAGCCGCGGCCTTTTGTGCTTGCGAACTTGCTCGACTGTGTAGTCCACTGACTCACGCAACAGAGGGTTGCTGTGCGATTCCGCTAGGCTATAGCGCCGCTGCGCCTGTTGCTAAATGTAGTCCTTTAGGTAAGGGACATCGAGGTCTCTATGTAGAGTTTCGTTAGAGACATACCATGGGGCATCAGCAATAGTGCACAACGTCCTGCTTTGCAGAACCTGCAGATTTCGCATGTGTGTTTTAGCAATAAAACACCAAGCCGCACATGCGTAAGTCATTGCTGGTCTTATGACCGCCTTATAGAGTCGAATCTTGTTAATCAAACTTAATTTTGACCGTTTACATAATAATGGGTAAAGCTGCCGAAACGTAATTTGGAATTTAGTTTTTAGCGCTTCCATATGGTTCCGCCAAGTCATTCCTTTGTCCAGAATGACACCGAGACACTTAGCGGAGGATTCCCATGATATACGAAGTCCATTCATTGAAACTTCAGACGGAACGCCGCGACGTCTTTTTGGACAGTAGATTGCCTGCGTTTTCGAATGGTTTATTTTAATTAGCCACCGATCCGCCCAATCTAATACTTCCTCCACCGCACTTTGCAGCCTGTCATTCACTAGGTCACCAGACCACGACTGAGCCACCAATGCAGTATCGTCAGCATAGAGATAGACTTCACAGTTGCTGGGACTAGGGACATCATGGATGTACAGTGAGTAAAGGATAGGTCCAAGGACCGAACCCTGAGGGACGCCGGCTGTAATTAGCCGTGTTGTAGACAGGACGTTGTCAGTTTTGATCCGAAATTTCCTACCTTCAAGGAAGGATTTCAGTAGTTTTAGAAGCCAAAAAGGGAAGCCCTTTTTCATCAGTTTATACAAGAGGCCCGCGTGCCACACCTTATCAAATGCTTTTGAGACATCCAAAAGCAAGATGCCAGTACTTTCGTTAAGGGTGAATCCTCTGGTTACACGTTCCACCAGCCTAACCGCCTGTAGCTCCGTACTATGTTCAGACCGAAAACCGAATTGCACGTCAGGAATCACATGGTGATCTGACGAGAAATTCTCAAGGTGACGTAGAATCACCTTTTCAGCGAGCTTAGACACAGCTGACAGCAGGCTAATGGGACGATAATCCTGGGGAAATATCGAACCCACCTTCTTTGGAATCATTATAACTTCAGCGGTCTTCCACGCGGATGGGAAGTACTGGATCCTTAGCATGGCATTGACTATTGCCACGAGATAAGTTAAGGACTTCCGCGAAGGCAGCTTCAGCGCCTTATTAGTGATTTGATCCTGCCCAGGTGCTTTACGCACTTTAAAGGTCTTTAATATGACCTTGAATCTCTGCTGGTGTGCAATGCGGGATCTCAGGAGATACCGCTGATGTGCTAAGCAAATCTTCGGTTGAAAAAGCTTCTGAAGAAGAATCTTCTGATGAAGAAAAATCACCAACGAATGCGCGACTGTCACTGACGCCGTTGGCCCTAAAATATCTCCTGACAGATCTTAGGATGTGTCGCTCCTCGTCGAGGTCATTATCAAGATCATAGTTGGGAGAGAACTGTCTTTCCATGGCATCGGCGAAAACCTCAACTTTCTCCTCTGTCCTGAAGACAATGCCTCCAGGACCGTGAATGTGTGGGATTTGTTCACGCTTTCCGTTTTTGAGCGACTTCGCCACCTTCCAGAGAGGAATGCTTGAGTCAAGCATCCCCGCCAGAAAGTCGTTCCATTGCTCATTGCGGAATTCATGAAGAGCATTTCTTACTTCATGAACAAGATTCGTCGCTCTGCGAATGTCATCAGGATGACAAGACCTTTTCGCTTGCTTAATTGCAGCTCTTTTATCAGAAATTTTCTGACGAATGTCTGCTGGCAGAAAAGGTCTGCCGTGTCGCTGCACGGGAAGTACAGCTGCACGCTGCAGAGTTTGCTGAACAAAACTTGTCCACTCTGCTTGAGCCGCATCTATACCGTTCTCATCATCTATGATCGGTATATTGGGGAACTCTTTGAGGAGCGACTTGTATAGGTCCCAATCAATGCGTTTCCTTTGAGGGATTTCATCCCCCAAGATCTGCTCATTAGCCACTTCCAAAACGACGGAAGATGATCGCTTGAGAACTAACAACATGTTGGCGAACTTTTGATTCGAGAACATTGTAAATAATGACAACGACGTACTCGAACAAAAACAAAACAACAGACCCGATGCCCGACAACTAACCACTCTTACCGTTTGCGATCGATTGCCGGTTCGATAAGACTGATGAAAGGCCGACGCGCTGTTGCCATGTGTGTATTAAATATTTAAATTAATGAAACTTACTGACTTCAAATTTTGGCTTAACTTAGAAAAACTTCATGCCATTGATTTGTTAATTACACAATTTAAAAACGTTTTAGATTAGATTATAAAAATTAGTAAGATTGTGGTGATTGTGGTCGATACAAAGCACTGAAAGTTGTAAACTATAAAGCCATTTAGACAAAAATCTATTGACCTTTGGACCATGGGTCATATGAACTTTTTGACTTGTTTTGAACTCCCCTATTACCCATTTCTATAGTAACTACCATAGCGTTTACACCGTGTATCTACCGAGAGGCAGCGAGAACCTTGTTCTATAGTAGGTCCAAAGACCCCGGCGTCCTTAGAGTCCTTCCGGCTTCCACCCTCGTCAGATATTCCATATTGAACTTGCAGTTAAAGCGTTACTCAGGGGTGATCAGATCACCCCAGCTCAGAAGGATAAAATTCTCCCTTTGCAGTTTAACTAAGATAAAGGCCCGTGACTCCACAATCGATGTGCGACCACTCTCGCCTCTCCGGCTTCTAGATCCAACAGTGGAAGATCCAGCACAGCCTCCACTTCACTCAATGGTGTTGTCAAGCCAAACGCTGCATTTTTTTGTGCTGGGCCGGGGGCCGTGTGTGTGGCCAAAGATGTCATCTTTGACTGAATCCGAAGCTGAAGCTTCGGTCGCACACTAGTAATTGAAGCTTCCCCGAAGATCACAATCGGCAACCCTGGCCGTATCCCACGAGCGCGCGACCACAGCTGGCGCCGCGGCGTCTAGGCGTCCTCCGCCGTAGCAGCGCTGATTTCGGTTTCAGTTTCGGCGGGGACAGCTTCAACTCAGCTGCGCGTCTACGGGGAGCGAAGCTGGCAGCCGCACGCGATCTTATCGTTGCTATCGGCGACCGTAAGCGAAGCGATGCTCCTATCGCGATGGTGGCGAGGAGTGAAGCTTGATTCGAAGCTGATATGCACGGGACACAGCAGCTTCAGCAGGCACAAGTAGCGGGATGGCCACGGCACCGGCGAGGTGAGTGTTAGCGTGCTGCTACTTGTTGAAAGCGAACACGTGGTTGGATAAAAGAAGGTTCCTTGTTATGATAGTACATTCATTCTCCATGTACACAACGACCTCAGTTTGAGTTATGAATAGAATAATAAGGTTGGAATGGTATTTTTTATCCAGTTTTTGATAACGTTACAGTTACAATCAGTGTGGTTAATATTGACCTTCAAAGGTCGCCGACCTATACCAGAGGGAGAATGAAGGTCCAGGGTACGAATTTGGGGTCTCAGGGTCAGTGGAAGACGTTGAACCCTGATTTTGTTTTTTGTTTCCTATTAATTAAATGACATGGACAATACGTAATAGTTCCTTATAAACACTAATATTTGATAAAACTGCCTCAGCTAATTGGTATATTTTTTCATTGTTCGTAAATAAAAAAAAATCGATAAAGCAAAACAAAGTTCCACAGAAGAACAGCTTTAATGGGTACTGAGCTTATGTCCCTGAATTCATAATCCCTACTGATATTATAAATGGGAAGCTGGATGTTTTTTTACACTGTTACGCCTAAATGGCTGAACGGATCTGGATGAAATTTGATACAAACGTAGATTATAGTCTGGCATAGCACAAAGGCTTTCGAATATCACTTTCACTGGCTACAGCCCAAACGATTAATGGAACGTGGCATCAGGTCAGCGGAAGCGCTCAGTCGGTTGTCCGACAAAAATGCGCAATGGGATACAAATAGGGCATTTGCATATATTGTTTCTGCATCATTTTTAGAATTTATGAATGAACTGGTAACAAGGTGTAAGCTATACAGGGTGTTTCAGTTTATTGTTGCATAACTTTAAGATTCGATAGAACTTTTAAGATGAATGCATAAAGTCTATATAAACATGGGTCGAAAAATGCGTGGCTTGCGAAATACAGGGTGTTTAAATTTACTTTCTAAAATAGTTTTTTTTAAATATTCCGAACAATATTTGATGTATAACAGTGAAAATTGGTATACAAGGGTTCTTTGGTACGACAAAACGAACCATGGGCATAGTTTTACTGTAGCCGTTAGAGGGCGATCTCTACTGTACCTGTAGTGTATTAGAATGACAGAAAATTTTTTCTTCGTGCAATTTTTTTAATAAAAAACTGATTCTTCTCACTTTTCAACATAAAAAAGCTCTCTTGTGAATTTTCGTTATAGTTAGCCGTTTTTGAGATATTTCGATTTTTAAGTTTCGATGCATTTTTAATTATTTATGATAAAATAACGTTAGAAAGTCAGTATCTCGATAATTTTTAGAAGTAGGCTGTGTCTGCAAATATTTTTGAAATTGAAAGCAGAATAAGATTAAACGTCAACTAGTTGACAGTTAGTTTTGTTGTCTGTTGAAACCTGAAACATTTTTTTGCAATTGTGAATGCACGAAATTTAGTTTCTTTTACCTGTTTTTTTTTTTGTAAGTTTTATAAAAATGCCATTTTTATTCTCCAATCAAGAGTCAGCGGATATTCATTTTGTGTATGGCTTTGTAAATGGAAACGCAGCAGGAGCAGCCAGAGAATACGCACGAAGATATCCAAACAGACGACATCCAACTCGCCCAGTATTTGTAAGAGTGCATCGCCAAATAATTGAAAATGGTTTTGGAAATCTCCAAAGGGATCAAAACATAAATGTTCGTCAGCGCAGATTTACCAGTATGATTCTGCGTGAGTTTGATAGAGATCTGACCACAAGTGTTAGGAGAGACCATAGACGTCCTACCATTTGCAACCTGTGCAAGGACTACAGCCAGGGGACGGAGAACGAAGAATCACATTTTGTCAGTGGATTCTTGATAGAACTGATAATAATAGGGAGTTTTTAAGTAACGTTTTATGGACCGATGAGTCATGCTTCACTAGACGTGGTATGGTAAATTTTCATAATCAACATATATCTGGTCGCATGAACATCCGCATGCAGTTCGGGAATGAAATTTTCAGCATGAAGTTAATGTGAACGTGTGGATTGGTATCTACCGTAATCGACTATTTGGACTCTACCTTTTGCCTGCAAGGTTAAATGCTGCGACCTTCTTGGAATTTTTAAAGGCTGAACATGCAAATATGTGGGATGATGTTATGTTAGATTTAAGAAGATTGGCCTGGTTCCAGCTTGATGATTGTTCAGCTCATTATTCGAGAATAGTTAGAAACTGGCTGGACGAAAATTATCCAGAAAGATGGATCGGCCGTGGAGGACCAGTCGCCTGGCCTTCACGATCCCCTGACCTAAGTCCATTAGATTTCTTTGTGTAGGGATTTCTAAAAGAAAAAGTGTACCACACTCCCGTAACCACAAGAGATATGCTAATAGACAGAATCAGGAATGTATGTGATGAAATAAGGCCTTATTTGAATAATGCTATACCACGTTCGATCATTCGTAGATGTAAATTATGTATTGAACAATTGGGTTTACATTTCGAGCAACTTCTTTAGATTTTGTATGTTTGTCCTAACTATCCAACAGCATTTTAGTTGTAAATAATTAATTTAATTTGTTAAAAATAATATTGGAAGATTAAACAAATTAATATTCTGTTTTTTTGTGTTTATTTGGAGTTAGGAATTATTGCTGTATTTAAAAACACAATCTAAACGATCATCTTAATTGCTTGTAATGCCCAAATCGAAAATGTAAAAAAAAAATATTATTTTATAAATCGAAATATCTCAAAAACGGCTAACTATAATGAAAACTCACAGGAGAGCTTTTTTATGCAGAAAAGTGCGAAGAATCAGTTTTTTTATTCAAAAAGCAAAAAATTGCACGAAGAAAAAATTTTGAGCACTACTGAATCTGTCTCTCAGACCCAGAAGTCTTAAGGATCCCCCAAACCGACGCGAATCTCGAATATTTTGCAGCGACTGCGATTAATTCGCGACGACATTGTCGCCCAGGGACTCGTAGAAGCAAATGAACAAGAACAGACCAATCTCGCTCACAGCGGTGCGACAGTGCAGCGTCTAAATTTTAATTCGCTGCTTGCACGATTTTTATCGCTGTCGCAATGGCAAACACTAAAAAACTTCTGGAAATAATTAAACAATTTCCAATCCTCTATGACTTGAACAACGAGGACTACAAAAATGTTCGAAAAAAAGACAAAATCTGGGATGAGATAGGAGTGGAATTGAATGACACCGGTAAGTTCATCTTTACTGAGAAATTATTATAATACGTTTATTATTTATGAATGGCTTAGCTAAGCTGATCTTGACCAACAATATTAGGAGTTGAGGTAGTCGACAAATTCAAATTTTTCTCGTGTAGAAAATGCCAGATTCGTTGCACGTCTTGGATCATTTTCGATGTTGGTAAAGGCTTGTGATGGATCTGGATCATCGTCTAGAAGGTGTATTTACTGTTCGTCACATTGCTTACTGCGTAAAAAATATGCAGAACGCATCTAGTTTTTACTATTAAAATTGTAGTATCTGTTTTCGTTTCCATGGGCCTATAAAACATTCTCCACTTTTGACTTTTGACTTGTAGTATGGATCAACGATTTTATGTTTACCTCAGAGCTATGGCAAGCCTTTCTTCCGGAGAAATAGCCTTCCGATAATTCGTATCCATCTTTTTAATGTCTTCTTTAATATAATCTAATATCTCATCGAAGCAATCACTTCGAAAGTATATATAGAACCGTTTTTCGTCTTGGCGCTTCCTGTAAATATTTGCGAATGTTTCATTTTTTGAGACCTAGATATTGCAAGAAATACATACCTACTCCGTTCTTCCTCCGCCAAAGCAAGATATGGAATTGCTTCTTCTTCATCTGAAGAGTACATGTTTTAATTTGATTTTCAAGCTACAATCTCACACCGTTTACTGCCAATCCACTGCTTTTCGCTTCGATATGAAAGTCCCTCAGATGTTCGCAGCGAATTTCGCGAGAGCTATATCGCCACGAATATCGCATCGGATTAATCGCGTTGGTTTGGGGGATCCTTTAACCGACGGTCTTGTCGCTCTGTGGTCTCTCTGGGACGTCCAGAACCCCTCGCTCGCTGTTCTAGGCGTTCTTGAGTCCGCGCTCGTTCACAGTGCAGTATAGTGCGTAAGGATCTGTTCGTCCTTCTAGAGCAATCACAAGAAGGCTTCTCAATAAGCTACATGAGATTTAACATTTAACTGACACCGTAAATGTACGAAAAACAAACAATACGGGCAGCCACCACAACAACTTAACAGAAAAACCTACTATTTTATCACTTGTTGTTCATGGCAAGATAAATCAATATGTAAAAAATTCTTAAATTCTGATAAACATACGTAGCCGTTTACCTTTTTTTGTCACTCAGTATAGTTCGAGGCTAGAACTCGGATTCAGTGCTATTGACTTTATCTTTACTATTTGGTGAATGTGCGATATCGGCTACAATGACCGGTGCACTCTCACCTTTATTTAAAAGATGAGAACTATTCGAAGGATGGTTTATACTTCGAACGTCAGTACTTAATCTTAACCTCACTCTTTAGTAAACTTATGTTTTCGGCAACGAAGCGCCATATCAGTCGACAATTTCCCGTCCGTATGGAGAATTCAAACGTGGACGGGTGAGTCTTAGCGACGATCCCAGGGTAGGTGCACCAAAAACGGCAGTCACCCAGGAAAACGTCGATGCTGTGCAGAAACTCATCATTGAAGATAGACATGTGGCATATCGCGAGATTGAGGCGTCCTTGAAGATCTCAAAGACCTCAATTCAAAAAAATTTAAATGAAGAACTAGGAGTAAGAAAAATAGTTTCTCGTTGGATACCCCACCTGTTGACTGAAGAGCAGAAAGCAGCCAGGGTTAATTGGTGGCAAAAAACGCTTGACCGTTTCAATTCTCGAAACTCAAAAAATGTGTACAGCATTATTAGTGGTGACGAATAGAGGATTTACTGTTATGAACCAGAAAATAAACGACAGTCGGCTGTTTGGGTGTTCCAAGGTGACGAAAAGCCAACAAAAGCGA